TCTCTTTGTAGGTTGTTAAGAACTTGCTTTATGCACCTGGGTACTTCTGTATTGCATGTGTATATATTTAGGATCCTTAGCTCTTCTTGATGCATTGATCCTTTTACCATTGTGTAATGTCCTTCTTTATCTCTTTTGCTCTTTGTTGGTTTAAAGTCCATTTTATCAGAGACTAGGATTGCAACTCCTGCTTCTTTTTGCTTTCCATTTGCTTGAGAAATCTTCCTCCATCCTTTATTTTGAGCCTGTGTATGTCCTTGCACCTGAGATGGGTTTCCTGGTTACAGCACACTGATGAGTTTTTACTTTTTATCCAATTTGCCAGTCTGTGTCTTTTGATTGGGGTATTTATAGTCTATTTACATTTCAGATTAATATGGTTATGTGTGAATTTGACCTTGCCATTTTGATGCTAGCTGGATGTTCTGCCTGTTAGTTGACGCATTTATTTCATTGTGTTGATGGTCTTTACCATTTGGTACATTTTTGGAGTGGCTGGTACCGGTTGTTCCTTTTCTTTTTTAGTGCTTCTTGCAGGAGCTCTTGTAAGGCAGGCCTGGTGGTGACAAAATCTCTCAGCAATTGCTTGTTCATAAAGGATTTTATTTCTCCTTTACTTATGAAGCTTACTTTGGCTGGATACGAAATTCTAAGTTGAAAGTTCTTTTCTTTAAGGATGTTGAATATTGGCCCCCATTCTCTTCTGGCTTGCAGAGTTTCTGCCAAGAGATCAACTGTGAGTCTGAAGGGCTTCCCTTTGTGGGTAACCCGACCTTTTTCTCTGGCTTCCCTCATCATTTTTCCCTTCATTTCAACCTTGGTGAATCTGACGATTAGGTGCCTTGGGGTTGCTTTTCTTGTGGAATATCTTTGTGGTGTTCTCTGTATTTCCTGGACTTGAATATTGGCCTGCCTTGCTAGGTTGGAGAAGTTCTCCTGGACAATATCCTGAAGAGTGTTTTTCAGCCTGGATTCATTCTCTCCATCACTTTCAGGTACACCTATCAAATGTAGATTAGGTCTTTTCGCATAATCCCACATTTCTTGGAGGCTTTGTTCATTTCTTTTCACTTTTTTTTCTCTATTCTTGTCTTCTTGTTTTATTTCATTGAGTTGACCTTCTGTCTCTGATATCCTTTTTCTGCTTAGTCGATTTGGCTATTGAAACTTGTGTATGCTTCGGAAAGTTCTCTTGTGTTTTTCAGCTCCATTAATTCATTTACATTCTTCTCTAAGCCTTTTATTCTCATTAGCATTTCATCAAACCTTTTTTCAACATTCTTAATTTCTTTGTATTGGGTTAGAACATGTTCTTTTAGCTCAGAGAAGTTTATTATTATCCACTTTCTGAAGACTGTTTCTATCAATTCATCAGATTCATTCTCCATCCACCTTTGATCCCTAGCTGGTAAGGAGTTGTGATCCTTTGGAGGAGGAGAGGCGTTCTGGTTTGGAGTGTTTCCATCCTTTTTGCGCTGGTTTCTTCCCATCTTAGTGGCTTTATCTACCTGTGATCTTTGTAATTGGTGACTTTCAGATGGGGTCTCTGAGTGGACATTCCTTTTTGTTGATGATGAAGTTATTTCTTCTTGTTTCTTAGTTTTCCTTCTAACAGTCAGGCCCTTCCACTGCAGGACTGCTGGAAGTCCACTCCAGACCCTGCTTGCCTGGGGATCACTCGTGTGGGCTGCAGAACAGTAAGGATTGCTGCCTGTTTCTTCTTCTGTTTTCTTCCTCCCAGAAGGGTACCTGCCAGATGTCAGCCTGAGCTCTCCTTTACGAGGTGTCTCTTTGGGTATGTCGGGGTTGGGAGCTGCTTGAGGAGACAGTCTGTCCCTTATAGGAGCTCAAGTGCTGTGCTGGGAGCGCCGTTGTTCCATGCAGAGATGCTGGGCAGGTACTTTTAAGTCTGTTGCAGTGGAAATCATAACCGCCTCTTTTCCCAGGTGCTCTGTCCTAGGAAGGACAGCTTTATTTATAATTTCCTATTGTGCTGCTGACTTTTTTCATAGATGCCCTGCCTCACATGGAGTAGTCTAGTGACGGTCTGCCAGCAGAGGTGTTGCTGAGCTGCCACAGGCTCTGCCCAGCTGCTGTGTGAACTGCCTGGATAGTGGCAGACTGCCTCAGTAGTGTTGGTTGCCCTTCCCCTGACTAAGCTGGACTGTGCTGGGTCCAGCTGCACTTGCTGCAAAACTCTCAGTCCAGAGCATTTCAGATTGCTTGTTTTGTGGGGGTGGTACCCGCTGGACCAAATCGCCTGGCTCCCTGTCTCTGCCCCCTCCCTTTCAGTTGAATGGGCAGCTCTGTCCCCCAGGCATTCCAGGTGCCAGTTGAAACAGCCACCGAGATTTGTGTGCATTTCTGTGTGCCAAGCTGGCACCAGCTGAAACCGCTGTGCTGAAAACTCATGGCGCTTTTCGGCCCTGGAATCTCCTTGTCTGTGGTTAGTGAAAATTTGTTTGGAAATTCCTCTGCCTTGTTATTGCTGGGAACCGCACTCCAGAGCTGTTTCTATTCAGTCATCTTGGATCCTCCCCCCTCACCATGGTGATTTTATCCCTGGGTTCATAAAGCAATATTGGTAGGAGAGTGAAACCAAAGGTCTCCAAACCCGGAAGCTTGTATCAGTCTGATTATGGAAGTATTTAGAGACATCAGCTTCTTGGATAACCATTCATCATCCAGCCAGCCACCCATTCTGTGCTACAATAATTTTCAAGGCCTTCCTTTATACCAAAAATGCTGATGGATGCTAAAGGTATAGAATGAATGTCATTGACTTTGACTCAAGAAATTCACTCTAGACTGGTAACTCAACTAAGCCTAATAGAGTAGGTAGATGCCTGACTCTGGGTGTTGTGGGGGTGAGGGAAACGGACATTTGAATCACGAGGAAAGAGCCTCTAATTGCACTGGAGTCATGGGTAAGGAACCCATTGTTTACAACTCCCATGTGGAATATTCCATATACTACATAATAATAGTTAGCGTATGTGTCTTCTGTTCTCCTTACAAACCAGGAGGCCACATTCTATTCCTCCATGTCTCCCTGCATTGTCCCGCACAATGCCCAGCATGGCACTACTAAAGTTTCCATTGAAATGGCATGAATTACAGAATGCTTTTGAAAAAAAAAAAGGAACTTCAAGTACAAGTGGAACGAGAGAGTGAGTAATGGACAGAGAGATGAGTCTTTCAAAGATATCAAAGGATTGGGGCCAAATTGTTAGGTTACTGATCTTGCCAAGGAACTGCTGAAAACGAGCCTTTTGGACCCATGTGCTGACTGCCAGATGTTCAAAAATGATGACCCAACAAAAGAATAAAATGGTCAAATTTGCAATGAGGATTCTTTTTTTTTTTTAAGTAAATTTCCTTCAAACCACTTTTTATATTGTTAAAAGAGGCCCCAAAGACTTAATTGAAAATTATGTTCAAAAACTCCCATATGTGAGCAGGTCCAATACCCTGGGCTATCTGACCTATTAAAACACAAAGATTCTCCACTGGATCACATAACCATGGAATTTTTTTTTTCAAATTTATGAATCAAGGCTTTAGAGTGAATAGACAGTGAGGGAATTTTTTGTGAATAGCTTCCCTATAATCATGGTTCATGACATTTTGCAATGCAATTATTGTGGAACATATCATAACATAATTGAGATTCTAGAAAGGGGAACGGGAGGGAAAAGGAGGGACAGTTACTCAAGAAAATGCAAATACCATTTTACTTGCAAAAGAAATTTAAAATCTAATGAGGTGGGTGCAGAAATTGGTTGAAAAATTAATTGAGAGAAACAAATTTGGAATATGTCTGTAAGGAACATCTGTAAGAAATTCTGCTTTGACACACCTCTTCAGAGAATCAAGTGCTTCCTGTTAGCTAAAACTTGAATGGAAGCCAGGCTAACAGATAGATCTTTAGAACATGTCAGAACAGTACAATTTATACTCTGAAGCCAATGGGTGAACTCATAGACTGGGTTGGACTTGAATAAGCAACAGGGAATTTTTCCAGAACGAGCTCCAAATCAATATTTAGGCCAGAATTTGTTTGTTTGTTTAACATTTGCCTCCTTTTCTTTATGTCCATCTCTGTCTCTCATTGATGATAACTTTAAAAATAAGCTGGACATGTCAAGACGTTTTATCTTTAAATACTTCAGCATGTAGCGCCTAGGAACAAAGGCATTCTCCTTTATAATCACACTATCACCATCAAGAATTAAGCTGTGAATTTCTTTATTCTATTTGCTTGTCATGTCTCTTCAATCTCATTTACTCTAGAATGGCCACCACCACCACCACGTTTGTTTGTTTTTTTAAGTTTTCCAGGACACTGACATTTTGATGAGTACATGTCACTTGACGTGTAGAATCTGCCCCCCATCACCACCAATCTGTTTTTGTCTGACTGTGGATCAGACTTTTGGGAAGTCGATCACACTAGTGTTTACTGTTCATCTGTATCTTTGAATGAGAATAACTGTTTTTTTTAAAAATTCTAAATGAGTTGGCCTTTTTAGATATTAAAATTATCAAAGAGAGGAAAAGGTAAGGAACTATTGATTTGTTTTAGTGCCAGATTCTTCAGATTAGATTGAGATGGTATATTCATGAGGTGTTTGAATCTTGAAATTTCTGAGCATGTTTTTCAATGATTCATCTAGCCTTTAGAGATTTACTCAGAAACTCCCTTTTCTTCCTCCACTGAGAGATTTTTGAACTTCAGAATTTAGAAAGCGATTGTTCATTATCCAAATCCTTTTAAGAAAAAAAAAAGAGTAGGCGGCACTGTAAAGGAAGAATTTTAGTTGCTGGGATAAGAGACAAATTTATCACTTTCCCACTGATTCCTCAGCCAGTATTGCCCCTCCCCAGTAACCACTTCTCCAGAGATTAAAACATGCTTGAATTGGAGTAGGCATTTCCTTCCTTCTGTTCAGTGCCAGTTCTCAGAGGAAAACGTTCGTTTTGCTCTTTGATTCCTGTAGCCCAGAGACAGCAATGAAAGGACCTGCTGCTTCCTGGAGTATAAGGATTTCATCTGGGGGGCTGCAGGGCAGGAAAGAGAGTTTGAAGGGTGTGTGCATCAGCGTGGGTGTGAATGATTTCCCCTAGGGCCAGTTAGCTGGACTGGAGCCCAGAATATGCCATTCATCCGCCATCCACCTTAAATTGCACCACACAGCTAGATGGTTGAGGGAGAAGTCACTCAATGGCAGTGCCACTTGCTGCCAGTTTTCATTGTGTCACTTTGATATGGGATGTCCTAGAAACTGATGCAGTTTTCTACTTCCCTGAGAGGGAGTAAAAGATGCATGGCACAGTGGGTCAGTAAACTGTAAATGAAATAAACAAAAATGAGAATAACGAAGCCGAGAGTTGAATCTCCTCTCATAGTACTGTGGTCCTACAAATGTAAAGATGCTTGTGTCTTTCATCATAAGTCCTATTTCTAAGCAATGAGGAGATGGTAAAAATAAATGATCTCTTGATACAGATATGGAATCTATTCAGTTACCCAATGTTCAAAATGTAGGCCCTACTTGATCCATGTTGATGCAAGAATATTTACTTCTACCATTCAGCCTCAGGTTGTAAGAAAAATAAAGATGAAATCAAGCATGCAAATACATCTGGCTGGGCTCCTTGTAACTTGAAATCAGTGTCTTTGATGTTTCTAATTAAGGAAACATGAGTTGAAAGCACTGGGGTTTGTGGGGTTTTGTTGTTGTCATGATTATTTGACACAAGGAGAAAATTTTGGTCAGACTTAGACCACATGGTAGATTTGTCCAAACCTGCAGTGCCCAACTGTCCCAGTTCGCCTGGGAACAAGGAATTTCCCAAGACAAGGGACTGTCAGTGCTAAAACCAGGACAGATATGGAAAGATTAGCGCAATGGGTCATCCTAGCAAGCCTAAAATGTGCCCATCACCTAAAACATGGAATCCTTTGCCTAGGTGTTATAACTGTAAACTTACCTCAGAATTAGTGAAGTGGAGGAGATGCAGTATCTATTGGACTTACACTTCGGAAAGCTCTGTATAAATATGAATGTCCAGGAACGCAGTTGACAGGATTTAACGTGATGTGCTGTGGAAAAGACGAATACCAAGGCCTTTCCAAGACCTGTTTTGTGATGTTTGCTTCTAACAAAAGTTAAAACAGATTTGTTTATTCTGTTTATTTATTTACTTGTTTTTGATGGAGTCTCGCTCTGTCACCCAGGCTGGAGTGCAGTGGCGCAATCACGGCTCACTGCAACCTCCACCTCCCTGGTTCAAGCTATTCTTCTGCCTTGGCCTCCCGAGTAGCTGGGATTGCAAGCACACGCCACCATGCCCAGATAATTTTTGTATTTTTAGTAGAGACAGGGTTTCACCACGTTGGACAGACTGGTCTCAAACTCCTGACCTCGTTATCCACCTACCTCGGCCTGCCAAAGTGCTGGGACTACAGGCATGAGCCACCGCGCCTCGCCAGTTTGTTTCTTCTCGACTTTTTGTTTTATGCTGAGAGCAATAACCATCCCAAACTCTATAACCCTGTTGGGCCAGGATTTCTAATGAATGACCACAGAAAAAAACAACAGACACAGAAAGGAAGTTTCCTCTAGTGAAATTTTCCGCCAGTAAAATATTGATCACTTTTGTCCTTGAGTCCTAGGGATTTTTGATACCTATTCTACAGTAGAGAACGTCCTGTTCACAAAACGTATACTCCATTAACATAATTAGAATGAGAATCTGCACTCCAGCCAGAGCTTAGTACCCATTGTGAAGTTAGGTCCCTGAGAAAAATGTTCAATAGGAATTGGAAATATTGACAGCTATTCAGTAATTTATATGAGAGCCAAACAAGTCATAGAGGAAAATATGAAAGCAAAACTACTTACAGCCTGTTGATAAGGATATCCTGTTTCTTATTCATTAAAAGTTTAAATATGACTTCTGCTTATTGGAGAAATTAAGTACCCCAATTAAAATTCATCCAGAGCTCACATAGTATATGATACTTTACTTGTAAGAAAAATTTATTAAACAGTTTGAGAAGCAGAAGAGAACCAAAATTTATTAGCATGAGCCACTAAGGTCTAAGAGTCGATGGGAAAAGGGAAATGACAACAAAATTTGAAGCTAAACATGATTGGAAGTGGTAGTATCCAAGAATAGTTTGAATCTGGGGAGCAGGAAGACATTGGCTGCCTAGTGGCTTGAGAGTAAGGAATGAGGACAAAGAGATTAGACCACAAGGGTAATGATAAAACATACTTCTATGATATAGAGTAGTGGTGAGGATGGGTTGTGAAATTCAACTGCCCTGGATTTGAATTCTGGCTCCATTCCACACAACTTGACCCTGGGTGAGTTACTTAATGATGTAAGCTTCTGTTTCCACTTATTAAAATGGGGATAAGCTGGGCACCATAGCTTGAGCCTGTAATCCCAACTACTTAAGACGCTGAGACAAGAGGATTGCTTGAGCCGAGGCATTCCAGGCTGCAGTAAACTATGATCACACCACTGCACTCCAGCCTGGGAGACAGAGCAAGACCCTGTCTCAAATGCAATACAACGCAATACAATACGATACAATACAATACAAATGCTATGTGTTTGTAGCAAATGAAAGTACTATTTGTGTAGGTAAGTTAAAATGGGTAAATATTAGCAATTTCATATCTTCAACCTAAAGGGCACCTACCCCATAAGTTTGTTACAAGGATTCAGCGAAATAAGGAAAGCAGTTCACCTAGGGATTAAGAACATAGTCTTTGGTCTGCCCTCCACCTGGCAAGGGAGTCCCGTCTGTCCAGATTGTTCCGGATCTTGCTGCCCACCCAGTGGCCGAAGTCCCTCAGGTCTGGAGGCCGCAGTATTAAAGGCTGAGCAGCAGCAGAAGCAGAAGTGGGCTGTGAGTACTCAAACCACTGCCTGGAGTAATGTTGATTCTAAGTTTGGCCAGAGAATGCTAGAGAAGATGGAGTGCTATAGGAAAGGGGTTTAGGGGTTCAAGATCAAGGAGGACCCCATCATATTAAAGTTCAAGTTAAAAAAAAAAACCACATGGGACTTCAATTGACAATCAATAATGAAGACAACTGGATTGCCCATCAAGGAGATTTTTTTTTTTTTTTTTTTTGAGATAGAGTCTTGCTCTGTTGCCAGGCTGGAGTGCAGTAGCTCCATCCTGGCTCACTGCAATCTCCGCCTCCAGGGTTCAAGTGGTTCTCCTTCCTCAGCCTGCCGAGTAGCTGTTGACTACAGATGCATGCTACCACGCCCAGTTAATTTTTGTATTTTTAATAGAGACGAGGTTTCACCATGTTGGCCAGGATGGTCTCGATCTCTTGACTTCGTGATCCACCTGCCTCAGCCCTGCAAAGTGCTGGGATTACAGGTGTGAGCCATCACACCCAGCCCTTCAAGGTGATTTTAACCAGCTTCTGGTGGAACTGAACACTTTCCAGAGGCAGAAAACAGCAGACTCCTCAGACAATAAGAAAAAGAAATCTTTTAATCTTGAGGAAAAGTCCAAAATCTTTAAAAACTGTGTTCATCATAGGAAATTCACAAAAGAAAATGATCTATCATCTCGAGCAAAAAAGAACTTGACTGCATTTTTGGGAAAAGACAGAATAAGAAGACTGCCAAGAATGATTCCAGTCCCTCCACTCCAGACAGAACAAAACAACGACACCTATGCCTTCACCATCCAGGAGCATTTTGCCAAGAGGATGGCAGCACTGAAGAACAAGCCCCAGGTCACAGCTCTAGGGCCTGACATTTTCAAGACCCAAATGCAATGCAAAAGGGGAAAGAAAAGAAACAAAGAGGAAACAGGTAAAATTAGGGAGAGTTACTCCCCAACCCAGCCCAAGGTCAAGCAGCCTAAAGAGGAAAAGTCTAAGAGAGACAAGGGCCAGGAGACAGCAGCCAAGAAGAGAGCCCCAGCAGAGGGGCAGCACGGAGACCCCTGCTGGGTCCAGAGTGCTAAGACCTCTGCTCAGGTGCAGGGGATTATGTGCAGCCACCTGATGGCCAGGATTTCACCCTGAAGCCCAAAAGACGAGAGGGGAAAAAGAAAGCTGCAGAGCCGGTAGTGGTAGCAGTGGATGCTATGCTGAAAGAAACATCAGTGAAAAAGAGGAAAGATTCCAAATGAATTCTCTCCAGCCAGGGCTTTCTGACACTCAGCTGTCAGGGCACTGCTGGGGCAGGCTCCTCTGGTCTGAAGTCAGAGCAGAGTTCACCCCAGAGAGCCAGGGCACATCTTGTGACATGCCCGTGGGTGGCCGAGTCTCACCCTCTCACCACATTTCTCCACAAGTTATGTTCCCAGGAGGGCTTTTTTAAATGTTCTAAAACATGGCTCTCATAAACAAATACATTTTTTGTAAGCTCTGGAAAAAAAAAAAACAAAAAAACATAGTCTCTGGAGCCATACAGCTTTCTTTTTAATGCTGACTCCACCAACATCTAGTTGTATGATGTTGGGCAAATTACTTACTCTCCCCCTCCTTCCCTTCCTCTTGCATAAAATAAGGTTATCAACAGCACCTGTTTTGTTGATTTATTGTGTTAAGATCAGTGGTTTGCAAACAGTAACCGTGCAGTAAATGTTAACAATATTAGACATCTTTGAGTACTAAGGCAGTTGGTCTAAGGTGAGCCTGGAAATAATTGATAAATAATACAGTGCTCCATTGGCTCTTGTATATAGTTTTGTCTTTATGTACATATCTAATATTAGATTGGTACAAAAGCAATTGCGGTTTTGCACTAAGTGATGGCAAAAACATCACTTAATTACTTTTGCACCAAACTAATATCTACCTAATTATCTACCTATCTAATTATCTAAGAGATAATTTAATCATGACATCTGATGATATAGGTAAATAACACTTTGTGTATTTGTATACATATACATATATACATATACGGTACAGAGAAATTTACATCTCCTTATTGGTGTTACATCAAAAGTTATCACATCTAATGATAAAGTTGACTTACAAACTTTAATCTTTCATTTCACACTGGTACATAAAATCGTAATTGATGTTCAGATCCAAAAAATTAGAAAATCAAAATGCTCATTATTTAGTGAGTTAAAAAAAATTACTAAGCAATAGCTTCACATTCTGCAGGATTAATGACCTTCAGAAAACTCTGTAAACTTCTGCTAAAAATAATTAAATAAGGCCGGGCGCAGTGGCTCAAGCCTGTAATCCCAGCACTTTGGGAGGCCGAGGCGGGTGGATCACGAGGTGAAGAGATCGAGACCATCCTGGTCAACATGGTGAAACCCCGTCTCTACTAAAAATACAAAAAATTAGCTGGGCATGGTGGCGCGTGCCTGTAATCCCAGCAACTCAGGAGGCTGAGGCAGGAGAATTGCCGGAACCCGGGAGGCGGAGGTTGCGGTGAGCCGAGATCGCGCCATTGCACTCCAGCCTGGGTAACAAGAGCGAAACTCCGTCTCAAAAAATAATAATAATAATAATAATTAAATAGACATTTGGGGGGAAATGTGCATTAGAAATCTGAAATTTTGACATAGGTTTTTTATTTTTTAGGATAACCGAAAAAGGAATGGCAAAAATATTAAGTAAAAATTGTAAGAGTTTTTAAATTTATGTATCATAATTTTATAAGAATTTTAATGGCCATTTGCTCTAATTTGTGATAGGTTCCACATGTAAGTTTGAAATCAACCTTATTTGGTTTAGATATATTTTATTATCATATTTATATTTAGAAGACAGTAAATCCCTGGTAATTGCATTAATTTATCAGAAATAAAGGTTGAACTTACCTATTTTTTAACCTAATAATGACTTGCTTTAATTGTGTAATCCCAAAATTCAGGTGCTTTAGAGATTTTCTGTAGTGTTGAATTTTCATTTTAGTTGTAATAATTTTATTAAAAAATCTCGTGGAGTCATCAAAACTAAATGTCCAATTATTTTAAGTCTTAGATTCTCTAAAATCCATCAAAATGTTCCTCAATAACTAAAAATTCTAATTGGCTCTTTCATGACAAACTCAGAAAAGCACCTTTTATTTATTCTTCCAAGAGTTCCTATAATATTTACAGTTGGAAAAGCCTAAAGCATGATGGAATATTGGTATGCTGTTATTGTAAAACTGCCAAATGGAAATTTAGTATTTCACTTCTGGTTGCTGCTTTATATAATTATCTCATAATGATTAAGTTTCCTTTTTGAAAAGAAAAGAACACATTAAGTGTTTTTATTGCATTATCTAATTTAATCATCCTCATAACAATGTGAAATATTATCAAATGCGTTTTAAAAGATGAGGAAACTGGGGTGCAGAGGAATTTATTAAGAACCTATGGGCCAGGCACGGTGGCTCACACTTGTAATCCCAGCACTTTGGGAGGCCAAGGCAAGTGGATCACTTGAGGCCAGGAATTCAAGACCAGCCTGGCCAACATGGCAAAACCCTGTCTCTACTAAAAATACAAAAAATATATATATATATATCCAGGAGTGGTGGTGGGTACATATAATCCCAGCTACTTGGGAGGCTGAGGCAGAAGAATCCCTTGAACTCAGGAGGCGGTGGTTGCAGTGAGTGGAGATCTCGCCATTGCACTCAGCCTGGACATCAAGAGTGAAACCCTGTCTCAAAAAAAAAAAAAAGAAAGAAAAAAAGAACCTATGGAAGCACAGACAGTAAATATGATCTGGGCCAGGCATGGTGCCTCACACCTGTAATCCCAGCATTTTGGGAGGCCGAGGCAGGAGGATCACTTGAACTCAGGAGTTTGAGACCATCCTGGATAAAATTGTGAGATCCCGTCTCTACAAAAAAATTTAAACATTATCCAGGCATGGTGGTGCATGCCTCTATTCCTAGCTACTCAAAATACTCAAGAGGCCAAAGTGGGAGGATCACTTGAGCCCAGGAGGTCAAGGCTGCAGTGAGCTGTGATCAGGCCACTGCTCTCTAGCCTGGGTGACAGAACAAGATCTTGTCTCAAAAAAAAAGAAAAAAAAAGAGACAGTCTGACTCAAAAACCTTCACTCATAATGACCACCCCATCCAAACTTCAGTGAACTTTATCATGATGGCAGAGGAAGGGGAGCCTGCAGGCAAGAGAAGCACAACCAGGTTGGGATGGAGACTACCAAAAGAAGTACATCACATAGGAAAAAGCAAGGAACATCATGTTTTAAGGAAGAGGGAGTGGTCCCCTAAGCCAAGTGCCACACACAGACCCACGAAGGCAAGGACTACAAGAGGCCAATAACATCTTGAAATGGGAATTTTGGTAACCTTAGTGAAAGTAGTTAAAGAATGGTGGAGACAAAAACCAGACACCTATGTGAGGTAAGAAAGCAGAGTCAGGGGTACAGTCCACTCCTCTGGAAATGTTGAGTTCTCAAAAAGAGGAGAGAGACTTGATGGTGGCTAGAAGTGCATACAGCATCAAAGCCAGTTTCTCCTTTTAGGAACCTGTGGAGGAGACAGTGGAGACAGGAACAACGGCTGTAGGAATGAGATGTCAGAGTTCAAGTGACCTGGGGATTCGTGATTTAGGTTAACAGCCAAGAGGACTTAGTCTTGAAAAAGGAGCAAGCCATCCTCTGAGGCAGGAAGGCAGATCATGGGAACCAATGTGAAAGTGAAGAAGGAGAGCAGGTAGGTACCAGCTGGTGGCTGATAGAGGGCTTACCTGGGACCTAACTGTCCTCACTAAAGGAACAGCAAGATTATCTGCTAAGACTGAGGAAGAGGGCACTAAAAGGGGACAGAAGTGGCAGGACGTGGTAGCTCACACCTGTAATCTCAGCACTTTGGGAATCCTAGGTGGGTGGATCACAAGGTCAAGAGATCGAGACCAACCTGGCCAACATGGTTAAACCCCGTCTCCACTAAAAATACAATTATTAACTGAGCGTGGTGGAATGCGCCAGTAGTCCCAGCTACTCGGGAGGCTGAGGCAGGAGAACTGCTTGAACCCAGGAGGCGGAGGTTGCAGTGAGCCGAGATCATGCCGCTGCACTCCAGCCTGGCGAGAGAGTGAGACTCAGTCTTAAAAAAAAATAGAAAATAAAAAATAATAAAGGTCAGAGAGGGAGGGCAAAGTGTGGTGGGCTTTGGAAATGTCTGAGAGAACTGGAGAATTCAACAGCTATGAACAAGTGAAAGCATTGACAGGAACTGCTGAGGACTCAGCGAAAGTTCGAGGCTAGCATCAACTACTTAGCGTACCCAACTCTGTCAAGAAATGTGGCTTTTCATCCAGAGAGCCCACTCTCCTGAGCATGAAAGCAGAGCAGGCAGTTAGAACCAGCGTTCAATTTTGAAGTGAACAGGTGTAGTACTCAAGATGAAAGGATGTGGTGAAAGGATGTAGTACTCAAGATGCAGGATGACTGGCAAGAATTATTGGAGGCCAGAAATAAACTGAGGTTCTTGCACCAGTGTTGGTGAGGTTCTTTCCCCTGCCCCATATTTTCCAATGCCCTTCTTCAAGACCAAGTGAGCCAGAAGTTAAATCATATGCCCAGGATATTTCCTAGAGAGTTCAAGTATTTCATAGCGTGGGAGCTTGACCTGCAAACACTGCTCTGAGTGTGTAAGGAAATGAGCTTTTAAATGAAATCCTTACAGCAAAACACTAGAAACCAAGAAATATGCACTAAGCCCTACACATCCCATGGAGAAAATGGACGGGTATACCCTGAATTCAAAACAGTATTTGTGGTATGGCCCTCAGAAGGAATTTTCCCCCTGACTGTCACA